GGGCTCTCAACCCTTCGAGAAGAAGTAACAGGACCATGACCAGGGACAAGCTTCCAAGAACCGTCCACCTCTTGCTCTAACCATTCGAGAGCATCCAGCCATCTATCAACAGGGCCAGCCCACATTATAGGTGTAACCCCAACGAAGAGTAGGTCGCCAGTGAAAACGACCTTAGCCTTGGGTACCAGGACCATACAATCATGTTTGCTGTGGATTGGCCCGAAGCACTTCAACTTTACATCGTCATTCAGAGCGTATTCATCCGTCTTGAACGTTTTGGTGCCAAGCGGGAACTCCTCTGGCATTGTAGGATCGAATTTGGCAAGGTAGTGACCGTTCTTTAGCATTCCGAGGATTCCTAAGACTGTAGTAGGAAGCCATTTCACATAAGGGAGCAAGTACTTGCCCAGTCGTTCATAGGCATGATACGCAATGATAAGCTTGTTAAACGATGCTGGCACCACTTTTAAGGTAGCATTGATAACAGGTATCATCTCCTCCCGTACAACAGCCATCGCGGTCTGCGGAACAGCCGAGATACCACCAAAATGATCGATATCAGGATGGGTTAGGACGAATGTGTCAATAGCAGCTTCCATGTCAGCTGACGAGTCAACCATGTTCTTAGTAAGAGTTATATCTTGTAGTGCATCGACCATTATGAGTTTCCGTCCTCTTCGGATGAACCCTCCGTTGCTCCAACATGTACCACCATCAGGCTGCACGTATGCGCGAACTTCCAACTCATCAGAGTCGAAGAGGCCAACCGAACCACATCGGAAAGGCACCTCGGGATGAGCAAGTTCATGTTGCACCGCTGTGGCTTCATTGACGTTACAGTCCGACGTCTTGTAAGAATCGGGAATAGAATTGGCCAGGCCCTTCTTAAAATCACCTATGTAGACTGCCACGACGAGGATCAGTCCACTCAGAGCTACAGCGGATATCTTACAGGCCGTACCGGTGAAACTCATAGAGGAAAAATACAACTCATGGAGTAATGATGGTGGCCTATAACCTCATCCGCCAAGCGTTTAAGTGAGCCGCAATGACAACACTACTTGACCCAAGCAGGATTATTAATAGCGATAAAAGTTACCGAAAACAAGAGCTAGAGCGTGAGGATACGTAGTACTCAACTTCTGCAGCAAAGATCGAAAATAGATCTTGTGATATTGCTGTGATAGTCGGCGACCTTGTGCTAAGATTGCTACAGGACGATTCTATAAATAATGCTTCGATCGATGCCCGCTACTATAATCAACACAAAACGTAAGATGGATGGAAATCGATTCCACATTATCTCGACTGATCTTCATCATTCAAGTTGTGGTCAATGCACACTGCTATAGTGACAAGGTTATACACGTACAGCAGACAGACGAATGACGGAATACAGGTTATTATGACGATAACCAGACACATCATCATCAATACACAGGAGAGAACAGAATTAACAGAATAAATATCTTGACTCGATCGTTTCATACTTACCACAACTAAGCGAGGGAGAAATCTTATTAGATCACCAACAGTCTCAATGGCTGCGGTTAGTGATAGAGGAACATAGGAAAGGAACAGCATAAACTTAGATAATGGTGATAATGGTAGCCCGCCTTGAAATTAGGTGGCTCCTATACAAGCAGCGATAGAGAGAGACATCCCTAACGGTGCATGCTGACAGAAATTGTAGGATAAGGATGGAGAGGAATTGATTTCTCTCTAAGGGTGGTGAACTGCACCATACGAGCCGGAGGGCTGATGTGGAATAGGGCTAGATGGCAGCGTAACCGGAGAGCACTCCGGAGGAGACGTAGTAGTAAGAGAGGGGAAGTAGTCCGCACTTCTTCGGACTGGAGTCCGGTCTACGGACTAGAAACCGATACCTAGACCGACGACAAGTAGACTACGATGACGACATATACACCCTCTAGCTGCTAATAGCCGATACACTAAATAACGAGGACC